CCCAGAAATCAACTTTTACCTCATTGTTGAAAAAGCATAGGACACTTCATCATTCAGAAAATCTCAGTACGTAAAGGTTCTTTGCTGGTTTTATCTATGTTGTTAACCAATGTGGTGATTCTGCTGAAAACCAAACTCTTATGTATAAACGTGTTACACTGATTTTAATAATTGCAAACAGAATGATTTTATTTTTTCTGCTTGCAAAATACATCAGGCTTACCAGGTCATAGGCCAAACAAAAATAGATTTGGCTGAATTGTTTCTGTTTTGTTTTTTTTTTTTTTTTCCAAAGAGCAACTAAAAAAAACTTAGTATTAGGAAAAGCCCAGCTTAAAAGCTTCTCAAGAATTTCTTGAAAAAAGTTGGCAAGCCACGACAAATATTGTATGTAAGAATAGGGGTATAAAAATGTACTCGATACATATTGCCAACCTTTGTATTTAAGACTGGGGCAAATAATAAACTGTTAAGGAGAAGATTTAGAGAAAGCAGAGTGTGTGTATTTTGTTTAATAGCCAACAACTTGTTCTGGCAAGCGACCGGCAAATGAAAACAGCTTCTTGATTTCATTTTTGAAATGAAAAGTGGCATAATACCTATTTTGTTACTTCAAAGATGTATACAGGATTTAAAATTTATTTTTAGTTAAAATATTTTAATTATCTCCAATTGTCCTTTGATAATTTGTCTCACAATTTACAAGGAGGTAAACCAAAAGCAAAAAGCAAAAAGCTCTTTGCAGATAACAATAAATCCATGGACAGAGACAGGAAGTTGAAAAGTTTGTGTGATGGTGGGTAGGTTTAACATGGATGATGCTTTTCTACCTACACCTTTAAGGCTGCCTGGCTGTACTTTAAAAAACTGGAAAGTATATAAGAAATTCATAAACACAATTATGTATTTGTGTGTGTGCGTTATGAAACAAGATCTCAGTCTATCACTTGGGCTAGAATGCGGTGGTGTCATCATAGCTTACTGCAACCTCCAACTCCTGGGCTCAAGCAATCCTCCTGCCTCAGCCTCCTGAGGAGCTGACAAATATGTATTTGTTTTAACTGAGACTATAACATGCTGATCAGAGGAACAAATAGTGGCTAGAGCAATGATTAGCTGTGTGTTCCCTCTATCATCTCACTTCTTGATTTGTATCTCAGAAATACAAATCCATTCTCCAACCAGAAAGCTCTTTTCTTGTTATCTTCAGAAGCAGGGAACTTTTTTTCCTTCATTTTCTGATTAGATGAATAAAAATCACATAAATGAGAAATATGAATTTTTCTTTTCATTATTTCACTTAAGGCATTCTTTTTTTTTTTGACACAGAGTCTCGCTGTATTGCCCAGGCTAGAGTGAATGCCATGGTGTCAGCCTAGCTCACAGCAACCTCAAACTCCTGGGTTCAAGCAATCTTCCTGCCTCAGCCTCCCGAGTAGCTGGGACTACAGGCATGCACCACCATGCCCGGCTCATTTTTTCTGTATATGTTTACTTGGCCAATTAATTTCTTTCTATTTATAGTAGAGACGGGGGTCTCACTCTTGCTCAGGCTGGTTTCGAACTCCTGCCCTCAAGCAATCCGCTCGCCTTGGCCTCCCAGAGTGCTAGGATAACAGGCGTGAGCCACCACCCGGCCTCACTTAAGGCATTCTTGACATAATTTTTTACAAAGTAATTTGGTAAGATAACATCTACACTAGCTTTTAACACCTATCCACTTGACTCTACTAGAGAAGAAAACTTTTAACAAGACCTAGTGTTTTGTGTCCGTGTCCTTTATTCTTTCCTTAACTTTTCCTTATTGGCCAAGGCTAATTCCTCAACCGCTTATGACCTCCCCCCTCTGCTGTGCAGACGGTACACCGCCCAGCACTGTTTGTTCACAGAGGCTGTAACGTGAAGAGTGTCCTTGTCGCTGTGTACGGCCCAATCTGCCTTGCGTGAGTGTTGCCACCTGGTCTTTGAATTCCATCCTGGAGGGCCTTGTTCTATTCTCTCCTGGCTTGCAACATCAGCTTCTTCCTCTCTACTGGCTCTGCCCGTTAAGCCTATAAACCTGCCTACATGTCATTCATTAAAATATTTTAATATACCAAGTGAAACAAAACAAACGCTAAAAAACTCCAATCCTTTCTGGGCAAAGTCCTACTGGAAGCAATACCCTAGTCTCTCACACACCTTTAAGAAAGGGGTCCCCAACCTATGGTGAGTTGTATAATTATTTCATTATATATTACAATGTAATAGTAATCAAGTACATGACAAACGTAATGTGCTTGAATCATCCCCAAACCAGCCCCTCCTAACTCCCTGGTCCGTGGAAAAACTGTCTTCCATGAAAATGGTCCCTGATGCCAAAAAGCCTGGGGACTGTTGCTTCAGGGACAAGGACTTGCCCACACCTCCTCATTTTCAGTAACCAACAATGACTTCGTGGAGGCTTTTACTTTGCACTGAATTACCCCAACAGCCTCTCTGCTGGGCTCCTAGTACCTCTTACTCTTCCCTTTGATTTTTCTCTCTGCATTGTAGTCACAGGGTCTTTTATAAAAATACAAGTCTGTTTATATCATTTTCCTTCACAGCTTCTGTGACAGTCAAAGAAAATACACACACACACACACACACACACACACACACACTCTTTACTTCTCACTCTTTTCAAGAGAAAATCAGAACTCCTTAATACGGGATATAGTTTTTCATGATTTGACCTATTTTAGCTTAGTCTCCTAACCCACCACTACCCTCCCGTATATTCTACATTCTAAAATCCAGATGTTCTGAATCTACCGCTGCACTTGCAGTTCTCCTCCAAACTGTCCTCACTGCCCTGAATGTCCTTGCACACACTGTTTTTCCTTCCAGGAGCACCCTCATCTCTATCTCTCTGCCCAGTAAACTTCCACTTACCCTACTAGCCTTAGTTCAAAAGTCTCCCTCTTTCAGAAACCTGCTCTAACCCTCAGCTCCCTACTTGGTTCTGTGCCCTTCCTGTGCCCTTGCATAGCAGCACCCTCTGAGTTGTATTTTATGTTTCTCAAGAGGAGCACCTGAATCCTATTTATAATTTTGTCACCAGCCCATTTCACAGTGTCTGGGCCACAATAGGCACTCAGTAGTATGTCTTTAAAGACAATTTTTAAAATTATTTGGCTCACGCCTGTAATCCTAGCACTCTGGGAGGCTGAGGCGGGTGGATTGCTCGAGGTCAGGAGTTCGAAACCAGCCTGAGCAAGAGCAGGACCCCGTCTCTACTATAAATAGAAAGAAATTAATTGACATATATATATATATATATATATGTATGTATGTATAAAAAAAATTAGCCAGGCATGGTGGCACACGTCTGTAGTCCCAGCTACTCGGGAGGCTGAGGCAGCAGGATCGCTTGAGCCCAGGAGTTGGAGGTTGCTGTGAGCGAGGCTGACGCCACGGCACTCACTCTAGCCTGGGCAACAAAGTGAGACTCTGTCTCAAAAAAAAAAAATTATTTGCTTTTCTTCTGTCTCCCCAAGTATAGGACTTACATCTCTTCAGTAGATGCTACATAACTAGATCTCAATAAAGATTAATATTTGTTGAAGGAACCATTACTGTAGCTGCCTCCAAACTTTTCCTCCTCCATCTATCCTGCACACTGATGGAAGATTACTTTTCCTAACATCCTAATTCTCCATTGTACCTATCATCCTCCCCTACCCACCTCAAACTCTCACTGGCTTCCTATTACCTATAGGATGAACCCAAGCTTCTCCTACCTTAGTTCTTTTGCATTTGCTATTACCTCTGCCTGGAATGCTCTTTCCTTGACCTTCACAAACTCTCTCCTCATCCTCCTGTCTCAGATCAGGTCTTCCCTAACTACTCAAACTAAAATAATCTTTCAGTCAGTCTATTATATTAACCTGTTAATACACCTCATTTATCAGAGCTGAAATCATCTTCCTCACAGGCTTTTTCTACTGTCTCTCTCTCTTGACTTCCTCATTAGAATGTAAGGTTCATTAACAGAGGCCTGATCAGCTTTGTTAATTGTTGCATCTCCTGTCTTAAAACAGTTCCTGGAACAAGAGATATCTGTCTGATTTGCTGAATGAATAAAAGACTGAATGCAAAAACACGTGAGCCTGGCATTCAAGATGCTCAATGACGTGGCCTCACTCCACCTTTCCAGCCTTATCTCCAACTAGTTCCAGTTCACTATTTCCAAAACACCCAGTCTGCCTCCTAACTGGGCCTGTCTACAACACCCTTGTTGTCTTTCTCTTCCTATCTAAATTATCTTCATCTTTTTAGTCCAGCTCAAATTCAATCTCTTCTAGAAGGCAACCCAAAGTGGCAAGCTTCTTAACTATATTGTTTCTCTACTTAATGTCTTAAACATCTTTCAATTCCCTGGAGCTCCCTAATACTTATAATATAGATTGTTATAATAAAAGATGAAAAATTATTAACAGGAAAAATTTCATATGCTAGTAGTAAATAAAGTAGTAAGTAGTAAATTAAGATTCAGATCCCTATTTTAAGAAAATTGCACATCTTTTTCTTCAAGTATACCAGAGAAGTCTGCTTTTGCTTTTAGGTGTTTGTTACATGTTAGAGTTAAAAAAAAACCAGCATTCAAAATTAGTTTGTGAGAGAGGCTCTAGTGACAACTCTGATCTCCACTTTAAATTGCAGATAATGTTTTCTATTGAATATATTCTGAAAAGGCATCCAAAAATAACTTTTTAACTTTAACTGTGAGGCCAGCATAGTCCTACTGATTACATACTGTGTTTCAATCCAGAACACAATACAACTGAGAATGCTTCTTTGATTAAGAACTATTAGTCAGAAAATTCTTAGAACTCGGAGTGGATTTTAGATGTTTCTACTGATCTGCATCCTATTGACCCCAGTGACAGGTGCATGCAGACATACCTACATCATGGGCCTACAGATTAGAGTGGATGATGCAACATGTATCGCGTAGACAAAGAGAACATGCCAACCTGGACACCAACTTGGCACCACTTGCATCCTCTGCCAGATTCACATCTTCCAAGCAGGGTTTTCTACGACGGAGCCACAGGCTGACCTGAGGAATGCTATCAGATAGCTCTGGTTGTGGCAGCCTGTGGGCCTGAATAGACCCTTCACTCCTGGACTTTGGGATCTAGAAAATAAAATTAAAAAAAAAAAAGAGAGAGAGAAAGAAAGAAAGAAAGATAAATTTAACAATCTTTCAATTAAATTTCTGAAAAAAGATAATTTATTCCAATTTATTAATAATCTAATGTATTAATAATACCCCAGAAAAATATCAAGCTAGGCATGGAATTTAAAATACATATAAAATTATTATATAGCTAAGGGCATGGGGAAGGGATATACCAATATTTCAAGGGAAACTTTCAAACCATATATATCCTAATCCCTTCTCAGAGATTCTAGCACAAATCTTTCCCAAGCCTACCCCTCTTCAGAATAATCATTCTGTGTAAAAAGAGATGATGGGAGCATATCGGACTGGCAACCGGGAGTAAAGGAAAGAAAAAACAGTGGAAAGAGACAGAAAAAAAAAAAAGCTTGAGAATCACTGAAATAAAGGATGTCAATGTTGGAAGAGTGTCCATAAATATTTACTACCAACAGGCAAAATACATATGAGCTTGCTGATAGTTTCTACTGAAATCCTTTTTTGTAGGGCAAAATAGAGTCTAATAAGTTTTTGGTTAAAGTAATAAACAGGAAAAACACAATCTTTCCAGTTTTCTTGTAACTATGGAAGTATTGGCAACACATGTCCCAAATGAATCCCAGTGTACTGACTTCTCAGACTGTATGTGAAGTTATGCTCTCTCCAACCCTATACATATCCTCATGCTCTTATTTTAGATCAGAAAAAATATGAATATGATCAATGTTCTTTTCTTTAAAAGTATAAAAAACATGATGTCAGAATTGCAGGGAAAAATTAAAATCCTTGGATCACTTGTACTTGTTACACTGGAAGCTTCTTTTTTCTAGGACTTCTCTTATGCCTGTCTTACATCCGAGTATCACCTGTTCATCACTGGCCACTCACCAACTACCTAGAAGCAAACCAATCCTAACATCCTGTGAGGCTAATTCCATTGCCCGTGGAGTTTCTAGAACTAACATCGGATCTCAGTGACCTTTCCTGACTTGGAATTCCTACAATGCACCACCACATAGTTGACCCTTGATCACACATTGCCTGATACCTTAATCTTGGTTGTCGCGTGTTTCTAGGTCATACGGCCTCAACCAGATCTCTAGACATAGAGGTTAGAGCCTCTGCTTTTTTTTTTTTTTTTTTTTGAGACAGAGTCTCACTCTATTGCCTGGGCTAGAGTGAGTGCCGTGGCGTCAGCCTAGCTCACAGCAACCTCAAACTCCTGGGCTTGAGTGATCCTCCTGCCTCAGCCTCCCGAGTAGCTGAGACTACAGGCATGCGCCACCATGCCCGGCTAATTTTATATATATATATCAGTTGGCCAATTAATTTCTTTCTATTTATAGTAGAGATGGGGTCTCGCTCTTGCTCAGGCTGGTTTTGAACTCCTGACCTTGAGCAATCCGCCCGCCTCGGCCTCCCAAGAGCTAGGATTACAGGCGTGAGCCACAGCGCCCGGCCTCTGCTTCTTTTTATTTCTCCCCTTTCTCCTTCCTCCCTCTCTTCTTCGCTTTATTATTATTCACATTTTTACCATAAAGTCTAGCAAAGTTTTGGATCCATTAATAAATAATTATTGTCAGACAACACACTTTTCAACTGTAAGATATTCTCAAGACACTGATTATCGTCAAGGCTAGTATAACAATTAAAAGAAATTAATATGGGAAGAGTTATGAACATAAATACTGAATAAATTCATGCCTCTATGAGGATTACATAAAAATGATATATGAGTAAATGTATACAATTATGAATTATCAATTAAAAATATTTATTCATAAAAACAGTACAGACAAAATATATGAACATTATTTGGCAAAAAGTTACATTTAGCATAGAGCAAAGTAAACACTCAATAAAAGCTAACTTTTATTGCTGTGATGTAAAATTTGCCCAAATTTCATGATTGCCAATTAACTGTTCATGGCATTTCTTTGAAGAGCATTTGTAAGCTCATGAAAATCAAGGAAAGCAAGGAAAAATTTTAAAAATTATGAGCTTACTAAAACATTTCTATACTCTACAATATTTGCCAAGATTACTTTTTTTACTGACAAATACTGTATACAGTCATCAGATACAACATGTTTGAAATATGTATCACTAAGGAATGGGTAAATTGAAGTAATTAACATATGCACTACCTCACATACTTTGTGTGGTGAGAAACTTAAAATTTACTCCTAGAAATTCTCAAGAATGCCAAGATTACTTTTTAAAAAGAAATATTAAGATAAACAGCAAGAGAACATGACAAGTATAAATATATGCTATTATATATTTCATAAAGGGTCTCCTTTTGAAGGTAGTTATTTATCTTAAAAGTAGACATAAAAATAACCAATAAAAGCACTGGAAAAGCAGTAAGATTTCAAACTAATTAGATAAAAAGCTCACATTTAGAGTTAGTTCCCTCTCCATATTAAAGCAAACACAAGAGTAGTTGTTTGGCAATACTTCATGGTTCTAAAACAAGGAGACAACATTTTAGGTTCAGTGATAAATTACTGAATGGACTACAGAACCCCAAAATTATATAAAGGTGAAATATTAGAAGGTAAAAAAGTAATATGCAGCTTATTTCATTCTGTCAGGTTATATTAAAATACCCTTTATAATGCAAATCACTTAGAACTCAGATAATAGCAAGTATATCGGCTATATTTTGTCTGATAATATTTCTGTGATAATTTCTTCAGAAATAACATAGACATGATTGTCATTAACCATGAACTTTAAAATATAAACTCATTATTTATGTATCAAAGTAGTACAAAGAACTGAGCTTGTGATAATACCACATGCAGTTTATGAAAAAATAGAATTGCTAGGGAAAAAAAGTAACTCGGTAACTCTCAGACTACTGGAACTATGAAATATACATGTATTATTTCAAAAGGAATGGAAGTTTTTAAAGATGACTAATGATATCTCTTCTTGAAGACATATCTTGGAGACTACATCTTCACTATAGCAATGACTATGCGAAAAATAAAAACAATACAGTAAAATTTTAAAACCTGCTGTCTCACTGATGTAATTAATTTTAGTTCACATGTATCAACTCTGAGGAAAAAGAAAAGACCATTTTCTTTACTTTAGCTGGAAATTAGCTTTTTAGAAACTCATGATTTGAGCCAAAATGAATTTATATCACTGTTGGCCTTATAAGAAAGGTAGAGGGAATAGTTTTATTCTTATGCTTTTGGGTATCCACGTCAGGGTCTGCATAGTTTAGTGTTGGCGTGTGCTCTAACACACTCTAGCTTGGAGATGGCACTCACAGTCCCTGCTCACTGCTGAATTCTCTGAGGAGGAGCATCTGATAGCAGTCTTAGATACAGTGGGCACGTTATCACAGTGTGGCTTTTTTGTTTTTGGAGCCAGAGTCTCACACTCTGTTGCCTGGACTAGAGTGCCGTGGCATCAGCCTAGCTCACAGCAACCTCAATCTCCTGGGCTCAAGCAATCCTCCTTGCCTCAGCCTCCCGAGTAGCTGGGACTACAGGCATGTGCCACTGTGCCTGGCTAGTTTTTTCTATATATTTTTAGTTGGCCAATTAATTTCTTTCTATTTTTTTTTTTTTTAGTAGAGACGGGGGTCTCACTCTTGAAAGGCTGGTCTCGAACTCCTGAGCTCAAGCGATCTGCCCGCCTCGGCCTCCCAGAGTGCTAGGATTACAGGCGTGAGCCACCATGCCCGGCCCACAGTGTGGCTTTTAAAGAAATGATTCTCATCCAGAGCTGATTTTGTCTGGAGACATGTTTGGTTGCCACGGCAGGGATGGGTGTGTGCTACTGGAATCCAGTGGGCTGAGGCCAGGCATGTGACCAAACATCCTACAATGGGCACGACAGCCTGCCATAAAGAGAGTTACCTGGTTCAAAATATCAGCAGTCCTGCTTTAGAGGGACAAGTAGGAAGAAACCTGTATTGAGGGAACATATCTCTATATACTGTTCTCCTGGGTCTAGTCTCCCTTTGGAGCACTGGCACATTAAGACATAATGGACGAAGATAAGCTATAAATTTAGCAGAAGTGGGCCAAGGAGGCCATTTAGACCTGCCTTGTCTAGGCAAGAATCACTAGTGGCTCCACGGGGTTCAGGTAAGCTCTGCTGGGCAGGGACTCCAAACAGGGTGAAAAGCCTTACTGTACCAAGTGGAGTGAACGTGCCTGGGGACACCCAGCCGCAGCCTCCCTCGTAACATGTGGCTGCAGTAGGAAAATGGCCGAGGGTTCGGGATGCAGACTGGGGTGGTCAGCTCTCTCTTTCCACTGGAGTGATAACTGACACCCAGGGGTTCACAACACACTTCGCTTCTTTACTTTAGTCACTGCTCCATTTATTTAGTCATTTAGTAACTTTTGTACTCGAAGGCAAAAACTGTAAAATCCCCAAACCATTTATGAGAAATACTTTGCTCATGAGAGTTCTGCCATTTGGCTATCTGAGATAAAGATCGAGGTATATGCTGTGCGATTTATGTGTACAACTAAAATACAAACAATTCCAGGAATCTTAGAGTACATTCCACGCATGTATTTGCAGGTTTGGAGTAGCTCTAATTGTAGCATTATGAGGTACTATAGTTTTTAAGATGCCATGGGAATAGAAACAAAGGAATGTCCTTTGAGGAAGTAAAATTAGAAAATAGTCTCTTAAATCCTGGTGCTGCTGCTGTTATAAATAAAAATTTATCGTATACGTATTCTGTGCCAACCATAGATCCAAGAGATTTATATAAACTAACCAATTTAATTCTTACAACCACCCAAGGAAGCAAGAATTATTATAATTGCCATTTCAAAGATGAGGAAACTGAGGCACAAAGAGTTTGAGTTACTTGTCCCAATGAGTTAGTGGCAGAGGTACAGTTAGAACCCAGTAGGCCTCAGTACCTGTGCTGAATCTTTATTTTTGGTTACATGTTAAATGTTAGAATTGCAAGAAGAAATGGCATTTTTAGATGAAAGTCATACTACCTCTCATAATGTAACCCGTTTTTTCTTTTTGTATCAGTAGTTAAAAGCTTCTTTTCTCTAAATTTATATCTCTGGCACCTGCCAAACCATTCTAGGAATGTAGCCTTAGGAAAAAGTCAGCTTTGAGGGCAAAACTAGATGAAAGATATGTTCATCATATTTTTACTTATAATAGAAAAAATATAAGCATTCCAAATAACCAAACTACTATAATAGATAAATGATGAGGATTATTCAGCCATTAAAATATTAATATCTAAAATTTTTTTTTTCTTTTTGAGACAAGGTCTCACTCTGTCACTCAGGCTGGGGTGCAGTGGTGTGATCATAGCTCACCCCTCCTGGGCTCAGGTGATCCTCCCACCCCAGCCTCCCAAGTAGCTGGGACCACAGGTGTGTGCCACCATGTCTGGCTGTTTTGTTTTTTTTTATTTTTGTAGAGATGGAGGTGGAGCCTTACTATGTTGCCTAGGGCTGGTCTCAAACTCCTGGCTTCAAGCAATCCTCTCACTTCAGCCTCCCAAAGCACTACTGTTACAAGTGTGAGCTGATCCTCCTGGGCTCTACCAAGTTTTTAATGAGACCATAAAATACGTTTGTTATGACATATAATATAATATGAGCTAAGTTAGCAAACAAAAATGCATAAGGAGTTAGATATATACCTCCAATAAAACTAGGGTCATCATCATACTTAAAACGCCCATGAGTTTCTAAAGTGAAAAAACAAATTCTGACTGGGTACAGTGAGTGGCTCACACCTGTAATCCTAGCACTCTGGGAGGCTGAGGTGGGAGGACTGCTTGAGGTGAGGAGTTCAAGGCCAGCCAAACAATAGCGAGGCACTATCTAAACAAAAAATAGAAAAATTAGCTGTTAGTGGTGGCTCACAACCATAGTCCCAGCTACTTGGGAGGTTGAGGCAGGAGGATCACTTGAGCTCAGGAGTTTGAGGTTGCTATGAGCTAAGATGTCATCACTGCACTCTGCCACTGTGACAGAGGGAGACTCTGTCTCAAGAAAAACAAAACAAAAACCCAAATTCTTTTATAGTCAGTACCATAAATATTTTAAGATGGCCTCATCTTCAAAAAATTGAATGAGGTACCTAGCACCAATCTATTAGTAATAAAATTTTCCTTTAAAAAATTCCATCATTTATCTCTAAGTTTGCCATCTAATCTCAAATGAAACCATTTGGCTTCAAGTTCTTGTTGATTTAGAGGATGGGATTACACAGGAGGATGGGGCCTTAAGACAAAGTATTCTCTAGAAGCCTTCCAAAGGGAGGCTACTGAATAAGCAGTCAGTGACTCTCAACCAAGGGTGCACATTAGAATATTCCTTGGAGACCTTAAAAAGTACACTTCCCTAAATTCATTCACCACTCTACTTCCCAGTCACAGGTAGTGTATCTGAGATGGAGCTCAGGCAGGTGGGAGTTTTTTTTATAAAATCCTTTAGAATAACATGTGCTGCTGATTCAAAGCTTTACATTTGTCAAGAAGTAATTTTTCTTTGAGATTTTTTAAAATAAGGGTTAACACAAAAAGCAAACTTAGCAAAACTAACTAAATAGCTTGATCACAGCTAGCCAATACAAGTTTCATATTTATGCAAAAAAACTTAGAAAATAAAGAAATTAGATGACTGTTTTAGAACTATTCAATTTTAGAGTTGAAGAGATGATCTACTCTAATCCTCAGTTCAGAAATAAAGTCCAGAGGCCCAAAGAAGTGGTTTGTCCAAGGTTGTACAGTGAGAGAGTAGGAAAATTGGTTGTCAAAATCCCTTTCTCTTGACCAAAGTGAAGACGAGCAGCGAAGATGAACTGTCAAACCCAGGGCAAACTGAGTGAGTACTGGTAGTCCAGGCAGCTTTTTCTGGCCCACAAAAAAGCAGAAGGATGGCTGGTGTGATGGCAACATCTGGATCCCTGGGGACCCCAGTGCAGCTGTGTACAGCTGTGAACTGATGGATCCTGGGTCTCCTGCAACCCCTTGGAGCCTCATTACCAGCCATGACATACAAATTTTATTTAAGAGAAATAAATTTCTATCTTGTTTGGGGGTTTATGTTATATACAAGAAAACCTCATCCTAACTAATCCAAGATTTTGCTCAAATATCACTTTGCCGGCGAAGCCTTCTCTGACACGAGTAACAAAATCCTGCCTTGTGTGCCACTTCCCATTTGCCTGCCCTTGCTTTATTTATACCCAGCGTACCTAATACCATCTGAAACACCGGACATTCACTTATGTTTGTTGGCTTTTTCCACTAAGCAGATAGTGGATGGCTTTGAATCAGCAGCACATGTTATTCTAAGGGATTTTTAAAAAACTCCCACCTGCCTGAGCTCCATCTCAGATATACTTACCTGTGACTAGGAAGTAGGGTAGTGAATGAATTTAGGGAAGTGTACTTTTGAAGTTCTCCAAAGAATATTCTAATGTGCAGCCTTGGTTGAAAGTCACTG